TGTACAAGAACTGTTCTGCACACGTGCTTTTCATGTTCCTTTCTTCATATACCGGGAGAGGAACTGGCTTCTGACGAAGTGGATCAGCTTGGTCTCTGTGCAGAACATAGTAACGATGGTTGCTGCAAAGCACAGAGCGCCCATGCTGATATGAATCAGCCTTGCCACCCAACCCTTATCGCAGCAGAATACCACCTACAACAAAGGAAAAAAGCAATTGCAGGAAAACTAGTCAGCACAAAATAGATATACTATCTCAATAAAAAATAAGGTCCAGCATCTCTCCTGGCCACGCTAACACCACTATCAAGCTGAGCGCAGTTTTGCCACAGGCACTGATCCTACAATAAAATATCTTTAATAGTCACAGCACTTGCTTTCTTAAGAAAATTCTGTCAGAAAAAAATGAGCATTCAGTAGATACCTGGTAAATGTGGAAGTTATTACTATGTGGCATGCAGAAATACGTTAACTGAGATATTAGGAAAACTCTACTGGTGCCATCATACAAGTCTGCTACTTTGCAGCAACGTATTAAGCTATTTTCTAACAAAACCCCACTGGAAATCTCCCATTCCAAAATATAAGGCTCTTCTTTCTAAAGCGTAATCGATTTTCAATCTGTCATATTTTTGTACATTGAAATGGACAATGGACAATGGACAACGTAATAATTAGTCTGCACAATTACCACCCTGTAGTCTGAATAAATGTGATAACTGTGCCCTTGGCAATTTTTGTTTCTTGTTCTGGTTGTTTTTGTTTTGGTTGTTTTTCCTCTATCACTTTTTATTACAGAATTTTTAATAACAGTTTCTTTGTGCTACTACAAAATTTCAATTATTGTTAAGAACTAAGGACATGGATTTATCTACAGACAGCAGAAATGTGTTAAATTTTATTTTACTTGTCAGATACACCTTCTACAGGTGGCAGAGAGAACTTGGTATCAAAGATAAAATCTCTTAATACTGTATCTTGCCTTGCCTGTAATGGAAGTCTTCCAGCCTATCCTCATCAGCCTTTTTTGCTAACGGTATTTCTCTGCTTGTGGACACACAAGTCATTTGACACTAACTTTCACAGTGAAAGCAAAATCTGAGAAAGATGCTTACCTCTGAGAAACCAGTGATTACTCCACTTATGATATAAACAAGTACCAAAAATGGTGAGGGAAGCAAGCCTGTCAAAGGTCTGTAAGTGCTTTCTTTGAAGTAATCATAGATATAGTGGATGCTGTGAGCTATTCGAATACCCATGTTAAAGCAGTTGGCAAGGATAAAGCCTATACTGCCATGCCAGTGGGTCAAGAAATAAGAGATGCAGAGAAATGTGAAGGACAAGGCCAGCATAACAAAATTGTACCTAGGGAAAAAAAAAGAGAGACAATTTAACAATGTATACAGTTACAGTATTTATTCACTAACTTTACCTTTGAAGAAATACCACAATTTATTTTCTAAAATGAGGAACGGAAATTCTCTTACGATCTTCTCATGGAAGAAGATGAATTTGAGAACCGAGATGTTAATAAAAAAATTCATTGGAAGAATGGAAAATACATCAAACAAATTAAACTAAGACCTACATTATGTGAAGGAAATTCTATTTTACTAATCAGCTGTATACTCGTTTCAGAAAGTCAAACTTAGTAGCAATGATTAGTAATGTAAAAACTTGTGGGTTTTTTGCCATTTTATTTTAGGTATGTATTAAAGAAAAATAATGCTCAACAAGATGATGCTTTATTTAGTTTCTGCTCCAAATAGTGGCTTAGAAAACAAGTTCACACTTCAAAGGGATCATGAAAGCAGCCCTTGCTAAGTCTAAAAAGATACTAATTTGACTGTGGAAAGTAGACCTCATTGAAATTAATTTGGAAAGGCCTTGTAAGGGACAGCCGCTACGTAAGTGAAAAAAGCTCAATGGTACCACTGGGAAGGCAACCAGGCTTCAAAGTCAATAACCCAGGATGGACACAGAATCAAGAAATAATCCAGACTGGAAGTGATCTCAGGAAGTCATCTAGTCCAACCTCCTACTTAAAGTAGATAAACCACTGAATTCAGACCCACAACTTAGATCATTCAGAAGTGGACCTGATATACAGTAACTGTACATGAAAAATTTTAACAGTTGCAAAATTTTTATGAGTTTTAAGTGATAGTCTGTCTTAAAAACTATAACTTCAAGCACGTGTGTACAGAAAACAAGACTTCACATTTGAATTACTTTTCCAGTTAGTGATGTACCAAAAGCTAATTTAACAATCTTTTTATTTCTTAATTTCTGACCTTTTGACTCAAACATTTAAACATTTGCTAAAGCTTCTACATCTTCTACATCAATGGCTCAATGTCCAGATGGAGATTGGTGACAAGTGGCGTCCCGCAGGGCTCCATATTGGGACCGGTACTGTTTAATATCTTCATCAATGACATAGACAGTGGGATTGAGCGCACCCTCAGCTAGTTTGCAGATGACATCAGGCTGAGTGGTGCGGTCGACACACCAGAGGGATGGGATGCCATCCAGAGGGACCTGGACAAGCTCGAGAAGTGGGCCTGTGTGAACCTCATGAGGCTTAACAAGGCCAAGTGCAAGGTCCTGCACCTGGGTCGGGGCACCCCCAGTATCAATACAGGCTGGGGGATGAAGGGATTGAGAGCAGCCCTGCCGAGAAGGACTTGGGGGCACTGGTGGATGAAAAGCTGGACATGAGCCAGCAATGTGCGCTCGCAGCCCAGAAGGCCAATCGTATCCTGGGCTGCATCAGAAGCAGCATGGCCAGCAGGTCAAGGGAGGGGATTCTGCCCCTCTGCTCTGCTCTGCTGAGACCCCACCTGGAGCACTGCGTCCAGCTCTGGAGCCCTCAGCATAACAAAGACACAGACCTGTTGGAGCGGGTCCAGAGGAGGGCCACGAAAATGATCAGGGGGATGGAACACTTCTCCTGTGAAGAAAGGCTGAGAGAACTGGGGTTGTTCAGCCTAGAGAAGAGAAGGCTCCGGGGAGACCTTCTTGCAGCCTATCAGTACTTAAAGGGGGCTTACAAAAAAGACAGCGGCAAACTTTTTAGCAGGGCCTCTTGCAACAGGACAAGGGGGAATGGCTTGAAACTGAAGGGGGGTAGGATTTTGACTGGATATAAGGAAGAAATTGAGGGTGGTGAAACACTGGCACAGGTTGCCCAGAGAGGTGGTGGATGCCCCATCCCTGGAAACATTCCAGGTCAGGTTGGACGGGGCTCTGAGCAACCTGATCTAGTTGAAGATGTCCCTGCCCATGGCGGGGGGGTTGGACTAGATGACCTTTAGAGGTCCCTTCCAACCCAAACTACTCTATGATTCTATCTAAAGCTACATGCAGACAGCTAAATAAAGAGTTGGCTTTCAGTGGGGCAGAGTATTTTCATGCTGATTTCAAATGCATCAAACTCTTTATAAGGTCATTACAAATAAATTTTTAAGAAGATCAATGTTTATCAACAAATACAAGCATGTAAAAAAATAAAGTAGTGCATGTTTGCTTGCCCATCTGTTGCACCTGGCTCTGGAGACACGGAACACAGTTCTTAAAGTGACTGCAGAAAGAAATTTGCTCTTTGGAAAAAAAGCATTTCCAAGCACATATCCATGCAGGACAATTGTTCTGTTTACATACTGAACTCCAAGCAAACCATACACAGATTAATTACAGGAATATTCTGGGGACACTATTTCCTACCTGTCTACCTCTTCTTTGCACATCAAAGCAAATGTAAAACATTCTGTTACTCCATTGATAGCAAGAAATAGGACATATAGAGAATAACATCGGAGGAGATCTGGACCTAAAAAACACATTAGAATACTTAAGTAGATTATTATTTCTTTTATAAAACTGCATTGTTTTTACAGTCACTAAGATATAAAAGTTATGTTATCACTAATAACGGAAACTTAAGTTCATTTGAACAAGTTTCCTGACTAGAAATCTTGACAAGAACAGAGATAAACAGGCAAAATAAAAACAGAAATAAACCCCAAAACACCCAAATATAGCAGTTATTATAGTAACAGAAAAGATATCCATCAAAAAAAAAGTATTTTATTAAAAGGGATTTCCTAATTAAAAAATTAATATTTATGATAACCCAAATCTTCTACTGTACCAAAATTTGTGGAAATTAATCCTATAGTCATGAGGTACTAAAAGCAATGAAATGTGTATTTTGAACACAACAGTAAGAAGAACAGAAAGGCTGTTCAATACATTCAAAACTGTGCTAGATGAAAAATGATGATCAGATTTTTATGGGTCAGAGATAATTTATACGGGACTTCAAAATTCTCCATCCAGACTTTAATCATCATCTTGTCCTTTAGAAATTATAACACTGGGAAAAAAATCCCACGCTTTTTAACAGGTTAGTGTGCATCCATGAACATTCCTTCTTGATGGCAGCAATGTAGTTCATATTATCGAGTCTCCTCCTGTTTCAGTTCTAAGAACAACTGCCCAGTGAGCAGTACATACACTGCAGACGTGGGGCAGTGCTGAAGACTTTCTTTTCAAGTTTGCATAAAAACATTAGACTAGAGAGCACTCAGAAAAAAAACATCCAAATGAATATATCCATGAATATCTCGTCAAATAAGCCAGTGTGCATGCTCAACATTTCGTTTTCACACATTATCATTAGGTAAAAAAAGCAAAATTACTTGTGAGTCACTTGACTTGCATCCATACTCCTAAACATAGTCCTTTTCAGTCAAGTAAGCATATCTAAAAGATTAGGCCCAGACACTCATTCTTGAAGAGAAAGAGGGACAGAAAACATTTTCTTCATAAGAAGAGTTGGCTGCCAGGGTCCAGAATGACAATCTTTCACAACATTTGCTTTCAAAATTAGAAACAAATCTGATAGAACTAGCAGCAAGACAACTCAAAACAACATGCAAAAGTTATTAACATTTTTTCTTGGTTATGCAGATACAGGGTTTTCCTTAAAATCACTATACAAGTCAAGCACCAGCTTCCAAATAACATGCAAGGGTCTAAAGCAAAAATATCTAAATGCTTAACATTTAAAAATAGAAAAGTGTCCATGGGGTTAGAATATACCAAATGATCTTAACACTGAATAAGGTAATTGCAGTTACTTTTAATACCCAATAAGCACTATTCCAAGGTTACGATTTGAAGGTGCAGAACTCTGACAAGTGCAACTGTCTTCAACACAACATACTGTCACATGCTTTCATCTTCCCTGTAACTTTCTCTTAATTGTAATAGATGTGAAATGGAAAATGCAAGCTAGAATTCTCCCACGATGGCACACAAGCAAAATTTCCAGACAGAAATGCAATAAAAAAGCTCCTCTGAGGAGCCGCTAGATCTTCACCCAAGACAGATCAGCTAGGAACCGAGACATTACACAGGGCTCAGCTACAGCAGACAGATAGTTTTTTCTAGCAGGAGCTACTGTAGGTCAACTGACAAACCACTGAAAGAACCCAAGAAAACTCCAGGCTACAATTTGTGCATGTTTGTTTCAAGAAGAAGGAATTAAATGAACCTCTACTTTATCTCCTGAAAATCCAAGGTGACTTAAAAATTCCTTGACTGCTTCTATGGACAGATTTGTAAAACTTACCCCTCCATATGTACAACTATAGCAAGATTGCTACCATTATGTGGTTTAGCATAATTTAAAAAAAGTATTATTGTTTCTATGCTAAAACTATGGATTCTTTGGTTCCAGTTTGTTGCGTTTTGGGGGGGTCTGTCATCGTTGTTTTAAACAGCTGGAGTTAGCAATTTTACGTCATGGAATAGTCAAACAATCCCTTAAAATGTTCTTTTCCAACAATGTGCAATTGCAGGAAGGTAGAGCTCCAAACCTGATCATAGTTATTTAGAGCTCCTCAGTATATTTTAGTTTAAGGTGACTACATATTAAAGATGCTATTGTAAAGGCATGAGTTCTGGATTCAAACAAAGTCAGTCACTGATTTCAATAGGAGTTTTACAGAAAAAAAAATGCTGCTGATTTTTACTGATTTTACCAAGAATTCATAATAGCTGCAGTTTCTCTTTTTAAAGAATGGCTTCTTTGCCAGTTCTATAAATCTTTACCTGTTCCAGCACTGAGCATTGAGCCTCCATAAATATCCAGAGCCAGCTGAGAATAGGCATAGCCAAAAACCGTGATGGTAAGGCCGATCAGAAGCACAAGTTTCAACAGCAATTCTAATACATTTGCAGCCATAGCAACATCATCCTGAAAAAAACTGTAGTCAATTACATGAATCAGAATCAATATAACAGTTATTTTCATGCAGAAAAGCTACTTCACAGAAAAAAATATCCGTTTGCACAGTGTAAAAAGATGTGAAACTTATCCTTTGTTATTTGAATTATCCATACCCATGGTCTTAACTTCCAACAACTTTTATATATTTATTATTCCATTCTATGTTTTACACATTACAAATTCTACACAAATATTAGCCATGAACACGTCTGTTCAAGGAAATGCGCAAACAGCACTTGCACCTGTTTAACAGTTAGTAAGTGGCAAAGAAGAGCACGGCATCTGCCCAAGGCCACAGTTTGAGTCAGCAGGAGGGTCAGAATTTTTATTGCTGCATGGGACTACAGGATTTGTCACGCCAGAACAAGCAACAGGTAGTTCTACTACCTCATTACAAGAAGCATTCCTGTAATTCTTGTAATGTAATTTCAGTACATACAGTGAAAACTCATAACCATTTTGCAAGTTATATATCTCAGGTACACTGTGTATAAAATACACATATATCTTTCTTAGCCCACCGATGACCTGAAGCATGGGATTTGTTTAACTGTGTGCTAGGGTGCAAGTAGCAGGATTACTGCAAAAAGTTGTCATAGTATCATACAAAAGCCCAGGCTGACCTTCATGACCGATCAAGAATTTCTTACCTAGAACATGCATGAATATTACTCTGTGGAACAAAACTCTTGTTTGTTTAACCATTGATACTGCACATACAATTCAAAAGCTCACAAAAAATACAATTCTTTTCTTCCCAAAACTGCACTCTTTAGAAACGTTACTGTTTAATACTTAACAGCTACTTATATTTTCAAGTAAGTATTTTCAGACAGCATTTATTTGATAGAAATAGCATGCTTTCATGATATAAATAATTGCTTAAGTATATCTGGAAATACATGATACACTAGGGTTTACATCACACTCTTTGGAGCAGATGATGTTAACCAGTTATAATACAAGGCAGTATTATGCCACTGAATATCTTAATTTCTATTTCATTAGCATTTTACCTATTTTCTTTTTGGTCCAGCCTCACTCAACATTTTTGTTCTCCACTTCAACTTTTCGATTTTAACAGCCTTTATACTCAAATTTAAACACACACTTCTGTCACTCACACTTCTGTGATGCAACTTATCTGTAACATAAATCAAGCATTTGACATGTAATTAATCCAAAAGAAACATACCTGCTTCTGATCCTTTACATTCTTCCCTCTTTCCAACACTTTAGCAAAAAAGACATAAAAACTCTCCTCAATAGGCAAAAAGATAAACCTGGCCACCAGTGAACCAAGATTATTCACGATATCATATACACCTTAAAAAAAACCAAACAAACAAAAAACCACAAACATAGCAGCAACCTGTAATTTTTTTAGACACATTTTAATTCTAAGTTGTTAACAATGACGTGAATTCTAATTTAACATTTCCACCCAACAAAGAGAAAACAAGTGCAACTTAGTGCAACATTAAAGCAGTGTTCCCTAAAAATTCTGACAGTCACAGCAACCACAGCTCAAAATTACAAGGCTTGCTCATAGATGGCAACGCTAGGACAAAAGCATCAACTACAGAGATTTGAATCTAGCAAACCACATTTAAAGTTCTTACTGTAGAGGAATTTAAAAGATCCTCATGAATTTCACTGAATGAGAACAGGAATGTAAGGATTTACTGATACAGGAGAAGCGAAAGATATCTATTTTTAGTGTGAGGTTCTTCTTTCTTTTTACTTTCACTAAAGTGGAAAAGCAATCCTACATGACATTTTACCAGCACTTCCATCCTCAGCAAGATACTGCTACAAACCTGCTAAGACATCTATGTATATAGATATACACAATACAGTCACCGAGAGCATACGAAGTCAGGCATATGCATAAGTGCTTTACATATTCACAGTGAAATAATAGAATAAGGTTCTGGCTGATTTCATAGGACTTGGAACCAATGTTTCTCAACATTTTGAGAGTACAGGCATTTTTGTACTCATTGCTCTTTTAAAGACCCTTCAAGTAAGAGGCAGCTCAATTGTTCTGCAGGGGAAGAGGATCAGAAGCTGCCGCAGTTACTGGTGGCGAGCACATATACTCAGTATTTATGGGGAAACATATGACTGCCAGTAATTAGAAGTAATTCAAACTAGCCAAGAAACTTCTAACAGGGGGCCAACAATTACAGCTTATTTTCCTTCCCCAAGCTATAAGACCCGAGGTGCTGCCAACTCAGTCATTTGAACGGCTACTGCCATACATTGCTCTGTAACCATGCTGAAGTCTTTTACAGAACATAATTCAGTTTTGAGATGCAATGCTATGAACAATGATGTTCTTGCCGTAACAGCTAACACAGATTCAAAAGGAAGACAGAAAACAGCAGAAAAACAGAATTACAAAAACTGAAGACAGACAACTATCACGCATCGGATATTAATGAAGTTCTTTTTTAAAAAAAAAGATATATGGTATCGCATATCCAATTGGAAAGTTTTGATCCAAAGAAAAAATAAAATTAAAATCCAGGATCTTAAATTAAATTCTTTTCTATATCTATATCAATCATTCTCCGAAACGTATCTCAAAGTCACAAAGGCTTTGAAATCTTCTCAGATTTTCAAGTTATCTTCAAATACTTTAAGTCATTTTCAGAACTGTCTAAAGAGCAGTGACTAAGAACACTGTGCCACCATTCCACAACACCATCACACTTACCCTGATCTCCAAAATTTAACACGTTCAAAAAAGTCATCACATATCGTTCACCTGTAAGTTCAAAATAAAGAACTTAAGGACAAGTCCCTAAATCTTTCCCAATACTTGTTCAGGCACTTCCAACATTAAGTACTCAAGAGACAGTCAAACGGGACAGCACCTCGTTCAGAATACCCTCAAAAACTTCATTCAGGTTGGTAACATCTGCTGGCAACAATCTCTGAAAGTTGTGTGCCCACCCTCTCCCCAGCTTTCTCAAGCTTTAAGTCCATTTTGTAAATAGTATTCATTAGCCCTTCTTCATCACAACCATAAGTCAAGCCTCACCTTCTGTCAAAATCTGTTTCAAGAAGGATTGTTTGAAGAAACTCCAAGTCAACCACGCTTCCTTCCAGTTAACAAAGGTCTGCAAAAAAAGTAGTACTGAAATGTAATAATCATAATGGAAACTGCAAAGTAGAAATAGAAAATACAAAGCCAGTACAATACTCTAGGCTAGCTCTAACTATACTGATGAGGAAAACCCACAATCTCATAGCTACTATAACTAACCTAAAATATTGCTACATTCAAGCACCAATATCACTCTGATCTGGCAAAGACTTTTTCCCTTGCTGAAAATTACTGTTGTTGCAGATAAAGTACCCAAATAAGCTTTCTACAGGAAATACTATTTGAAGTTAGAGACTGGAAAAAGAAAAAACCATGCTGTTTAGCATGCCAATATAACTTTCACCTTCACTGTAGATATAAATTGTTTATTCATCTTCGAACTGTCCCCACAAGTCTTGCAACCAAGAACCGCCTTTATCTTTTCTATCTGTACATCTTTTTCAAAGTGTCTTCTTCCTCACTGTGTCTTTTCATTTCTTTCTTGCCCCATTTTGTTTTGAGAGGACATCAGAGATATTTGAGTATCTGTAGGATGCTGCGTACCACCATGTTTATATTGTGGAAAAGTCTGAGTACCAAAATCCATGGTAAGATGGTTCTGGTTTCTTTTCCTGCCTCTGATCCAATGATACCTGGCCATTCCCCTGCACACTGCAGATGTTCTATCTCCAGTTAACGGTTTGTGCAAAGATACTAAAAGATAAGTCAGCAACAAGCCCATAACAAAGAGGTCAAGTTTCACAACGTTTTGCTGAGAAGGATTTGGTTGATACAAACCACAAACAGAATTTGTACGTAATTTTTTTTTTTTAAATCGGTCCTATCTTCTACAGTGCAGAGATATCCTCAGAAGGACTCAATTAACTCCACTATCTCAAACCAATTTTCAAAGCTCTCTCAAGAGAAACTTAAAATCAAGAAATGAACTGTGGAACCTACCTCATCTTCCATCAAGTTAGGTAATAAAGCTTTCATTCTAGCAACTGGAAACGACTTCTTTGTTGCTTCAGGAGACCCCAAAAACATCACAAAATAAATTACATAGCACATTACCAGAACACTGACATAGAAAAGCTGGAAAGATAGGGAAGGAGAGAAGAAAAACAACCAGTGATATAAAATAAACTGACAAATGCAGAATTACATGCTATAGCTCCAAAGCAGTGAGAACAAAATGTAATAAGTAGTCCTTATTCCTGTCAAATTTTAAACTAGGTAAGGCTTTAACGCCCCAAGCATGCTGTTATTTTGTTTTTAATGTTATGTAGGTTATCATAGCTCTTTGCCAACTTTTATGTTCTGTTCAGCATTTTTAGAATTTGAAGTCCAATTGTTGGACTTCATATTTAGAATTTGAAGTCCAATTATAAAGCAATTATTCACTCACTCAAAAAACAAGTTGACAGAGTAGCTGCTGTCTGCATCTCTTTCTTTGATTAGTTATAAGCTATCTAGTACAGACACTGAAAAAACTGAACAAAAAAATAACCAAATGTCCACATCTGAGGTGGACTGCATTTTCAATTCTAGGTAAACTGATATCGCACAGGCGACAACCCTACTTTTCAGGTGCCAATATATCCATTCTTCATTGTAGTAAAGAAAAAGTTTTAATCCGAGCATGTGTTACACATGATTAGCACCTTCTGGTAAGGCGATATAGGTTGGTGGTACAGGCTGATAGAATTACATGCGATTATAATCTTCTACACCAAAGCCTAACATGAATACTGAAGCCAGGTGGTGAGCAGAGTCCTCAAGCGTTAGAATGTATAACTGATTAAGAAGAGTGAACATAAAGCTTATACAGAATAACGTAACATTGTTTGCAAAACGTGCTTTCACAGACAGAACAAGGTGCTTTCCTGTATATCCATTAAACTGCTTGGGGTCAAAGTGCCAAGTCAATAACGAGTATCGGGAAAACACTAAATACAAGTGCTAAATCTTAAACCTCCCAGGAGCATTTTCTCTCACCTCTTCCAAGTTATTTAGCAGGCCAAACATCAAAGGCAGCAGCAAATAAAAATTCAGATGAATCAAGAATTTATAGAAAAAGAGAACACAGGAAACTTACCTGAGCCAAGGAAAAAATGTAGAGGCCCCACTGAGGATAAAGGACTACTAAAATAACCGTCAAAATGCATTTTGACACTACTGAAAGGCTTTCAGCAATTACCTTTAAGAAAAAGAAAATAGAGGTGGTTTATTTTCTGCCAACTTAACCACATACACAAACTTAAAATACATTAGTTTCACACACAGAATTTATGTAATGGAATATAAGTCTTATATTATGGACCGTAAGACTTTCAAAGTTGGTGTGACTTTATCACAAAGTTTCTTTCTGCTGAGTTGGCCATCTTAGATTGTAATTTCTCTAAGTTTACTATTCTTGCATTTCACAAGTCCTCCATTGCCCTTTCCCAGTCCTCTGTATGGGATTTAAGGGAGAAGATTTTACTTGAGACAATCATGTTCTCAACTGTTGCATTTCACAATTTCATGCCAACAATCAACCGAAATGCAAAATTGTGGAAGCTGTGTGCCTCTCCCTCCAATTAAAACTCATGATTAAGTATTTAATGATCACTAAGGTGATAATTTCTAAATAAACCAACTGTCTTGCTTTAACAGGTACAAATTCATATCTATGTTACAACTATGTCATACAGTACTAAACAGTACCCAAAGATTGTTTTTTTTATGTTCTTGAATATACAAAGATCTAGTTCAGGAATCCGTTCTTTTCAGCAGAGAAAGATAATTCCCCCCACATGCATACACCCCATGTACTTTACTAACCTTAAGTCTCACAAACAAATGAGCTTGTGCTAAAACCCAGAACGGTTCTCCCAGAAGTTCAATAATTGCAGAAAGACCAAATGCCACTACACCAGCCTGATAATGAGGAACCACAGAAGGATCAGGTACTTCAAGCAAGTGTAGCCAGACTAAGCCCAAGAAAATAGACCAAAAAACACCAAGAGGGAACCTAAAAAGTTAACATAAAAACAATCAATAGAAATGTTACTTAAGCAGAAGAAAACCCAAGAAATTAGATTAAAAGTTCACATATTGCCATAATAATTTAAAAAAAAAAAGCCGTGAGGAATTAATTTCTATTGTTACAATACCAAGAATACTTTTTTTTTGGTAATAAACATTTTTAAGGCATTCTTTTGCAAGACTTGGAAAACATTCTTCTGACTTGTCTATTTTCTACTCAAGAACCTAACATATAAGGTCAGCTATCTGCATTTCTTGTTCCCTAGGACCGAACAATTCTGATCCCATATCAGCCTGCAGAATACTGCAAACCCCTCATTGCTGCAATTTTTGTAGTCTGTGGTTACCAGGGGTTTGGCAGACAAGCTTCGTTGGATCTTGCTGTAACAGATGAAGATGCCACCACTCCAACTGCTAGTCTCACTCTTCCAGAAATCACTGGTTCTCCAGAGAGCGACAGCAGAGTGAGCAGAAGAAAATGCATGCCTGCACCTCAGGTATGCCAGTTCACAATGCTCTGCTGTAGCTCAGAGCCACTTTGATTAGTGACTGTAGCTAAAAAGCCAAGCTAGGCACAGGAGTGCAGACGTGTATTACCTTCTGTTGACACTGCTTCAGGAACACGAAGCTTCTGGCAGAGTGCAGAAAGTTTTATATCATTGCAGCAGGATCTATTTGACCCTCCCATTATCAGATCCCTAAGGTATTTGACATCAAGTTCCTAAGACGTATTTCAGATCCTTCAAGAAAGTTAATCTTCTTTTTAAGTTATGCTTCTCTATGAGGAAAAAATTTAAAAAGAAAGAGGTGCACACAGTCATTGTTAACTATCATTTAATGCCCACTTGAAAGGCTGTCAAATAGTAGAAAACTGATGATAACACAGTGAAGAGAACAGATCTAATACGTTTAAAATATTACTATTAAACTTATCCCTGAAATGGACAATCCCTCTTCTTTATACCTAGATGCAGATGACCACGCACAACCACCCATTCCTGGGCCAGATCTAATTAATAGCTGTGCAGTTCCAGGGAAAGTCAGTAGGGTGACCCAATGGAAGACTACTATTTTTTCACAGAGGAGTAGTTTTCCACCATATCAGACAGGTAAACTTACTTCTCAACCCACCTAATTGTGGCTGACAGCTGCAAGATCTGACAGAGGGGAAGTAGCAGAGAGGTGTGCCCAGGAACCAGAAGGGAGAAATAAGTCATAAAATCCACTTAGCTGCAATGTGCGATTACACTCTGGCTACAGCTTCACATAGGCTTTAAGCTATCCACTTTCTGCTATAAACAGCACTGCAGTTGAAAGAAATAGCCCTACTTATTCCCTGTTGTTTAATTCCAACCCTTTCTTTCACCCTTTCACATCCCTCCTATCCAACACAAATATTTATGTTGCCATGCCAATTAAACCACATCAGGGCTCAAGACATCGAAAAAAGTTAGTTTGAGGGAGGGAAAAAAAAAAATATCTAAAGCAGCTTCACAAATGCACATCAAGTAAGAAAAGAGCAAGACTGAGCAGGCAGAGGAGAAAAAAAAATAAAGGACTACGTATTTGTGCAACAGGATTTTCCTGTAACAGCTACAACATAAATGAAACTCCAGGCTAAATGACAGAACAAATGGCTCCTGATAACACCTCTGGCAATGCGCTTTCCTACGTGCTCCAAAAAAAGATCAAGTTCATAAATGCTAAAGCAACAGACTTGACCAGCTTCCTGCATCAGTCCTGAAACATGACTGAGGCTACTAAATGCTCAACGCTGAAATAATTACCTCAGTAAATAAATACTTGCTTTCATTTTGTGAGCTCTCAGACAAAAATTAGAAGTAAGTTCTAAGGAAGTAAATTTTGTAAAGGTATCTTACGTCAGCCACAATAGATTAATTGTTTTCGTCCAGTTTCGCTTTGTACTTCCACTCAAACAAGCTCTGCGAAATGCCTCCCTGGCTAGGAAGACAACTGTTGAATACAGTAGAGTTAGCCTAAAGGCGGTGGGGAGGGTGGGGAAAACAAAAAGAGAGAAAATTATTTCATTACATACTACTTCTGAAATCCTTCATGCAGTAGCATCACTGACTGTTTTCACACAGGACTGCCTGACAGACAAGTCTAACAGGTATGCGAAGAAAACGTGGTGATATGAGGGAAATTATCACCATCTCCTAAAAAAGGAGGGAAAGTAATTACACGTGATTATTCAAATGGCAAAAATACTTTAAGCATGCTATAAACCAAAAACGCAGTTGCAAAATTTATTGTATAGCAACAGCATGTAATATGCAATTGTCTAGCTTTTCCTCAGCAAGCTGATGGTTTAACATGAAAACAGGCCAGCACTACCCCTGCTTCAGGCCAAAAAAGGAACTCGGAGACATTCAACGATCAAACACTGTAAAACAACAGTAAATTAAACAGCGTTATGCAAAGCGTTATTAGCCGCACACCCTACGGACCACGAACCCCGAGATCCCGCACCAAACACAAAGGCTTTCACAAAGCCCCGCCGCGCCGGGAGCCCTGTTCCCAGGGAAGCCCCACGTATGTCAGGCGAACAGCGCGGTCGGGATGCGGGACACGGGCTTCCAGCCCGGCTGCGCTTCAGCCTCCTCCTCACCTCACGTTGACCACGCCGATGAGCTCTCTGGAGAGGTAGCGCAGAGTGAAGGCGTTCAGCCCGAAGGTGACCGCCCGGAACAGCACCTGTGAAGGAAGCCGCACGGGAAACACCTGCGGGCCGAGCGGGGCTGAGGCGGCTCCCGCCAGGCACCGCGGAGCAGGACGAGGAGGAGGAGGAGGAGGGAGGCGGCCCGGGGCGGCCCCGCACCTGCAGCAAAGCGCTGGAGGAGGCCAGCCGGG